TTCAAGTCTGCTTGGGCATTTTATAGCCAAAGAAAGCTATTTGCCCGTTGATCAACTTTCGATCTCGATCGTCCAATTTGAATTGTAGTTGATCAAATAATTTTGCCAACTTGGTCTGCAAAGTCATTTCGCCGTATGTCAGAAGATTTTGAGAAATCTTGCTGTTGCTCTCCTTTAATCTGACAAAGCTTTTCTTTGGAATGGGTAGCCTCCAAATTTGAATTTCTCTGGCATGACTTTTGTTGAATTATTGATCTGATGTGCCAAGTTGATCAAATAATTTATCTGCTGATTATTGCTTGAGTATTAAAAAGATTTCCTTCGTATATCAGCTTCTTCTTCTCCTTCGACTTCTTCTGCAGAAACAGAGCTTCAAAAGAATGTTTCTGTCTAACTATTTTATCATGATGATGTCATAGCTCCTTTGATGATGTCATAGCTCCTTTGATGATGTCATGTCCCAATAGTATATCATGTTCCACCTCGTATCATGAACTAGTATCATGTTCCACCTTGTATTATGGACTAGTATCATGTTCCACCTTGCAGTATGGACTAGTATCATGTCAAATTTCATATCATGAGCTAGCTATCATGTTCCACCTTGTATCACGGACCAGATATCATGGACCAATATCATGTTTTCATAAAATTACTTCAGGTGGGAATCAAACTATGGACCATTTGCTTTGCTTGGCAAGGCTTCTTCTATCTCAACTGAGTAACCAATTTATATAATTTAGCACTTAAATTCTTTTGTCTCATTTCTTCCACGTGTTCTCCTCAAGCCATACCACACTATGACGTCATCATTCGATATTTGTAACTATCATGATATAAAATTGTTCTTTCATGATAGTATTACTTGATACTACTCTCATGATATTTTCTTTGTGATATCATTTCCTGATATTTATTTCTTCTTTACACCAAAATTATTTCTAATAGGAATTGAACTATGGATCATCTCGCATCAAGTATACTTTAACAAGTCTTCTACCATCTCATCCATCTCAAGCTTTAGTGACTTGATGCTTCATAAATGTGTTAAGCTATGATCCCGCTTTCATTTATTCTTCCTTCAAACTGCTTTCTCGTAGACTTCATGTAGGCTTCATGGCAGTGGTGCACTATACTTTGTGAACCAGAACTGACTCAAATAAAATAAAATTGGGGTCTACAAAATACATTTGGCTCATCAAAACTTATACAATATATTCCTAACAGTATGACTAAATATAACAATATCATAATAATTGGTTATTAAAAGTGAAATTTGCTGTTTGTTAAAATTTTGTGTTCATATATGGTAATTTTTGGTTATGCAATTGTTTGGTATATTTTTCAATGAATTGTACTAGAGACCCTTACAATTATTGATTTCTATCAATCACTGATGATGTGTATTGTTTTTTTAATTAAATATGTAGATTCTTTACTAGCCGATGTTGTGGTAAGTCAGTTCACTAGTAATTGTAATCCAATAAAATAAATAATGTTTCTTTTTAAATTTGTGAGGAATAATTATAGGGCCGAGAAACATTTTCAAGTTCAATATATAATAAGTAATAATTTTGCTTTAAAAAAAAATTATTGGAGAAGTCTAGCCAGGAGAGACTAGAGAGAGAAAAACTACTCTCTCTGATCTCGCGTCTTTCAAAACCCTTTCGTCGTTTTTCTACTAATAATGTGTGCTAATCTCTTCGTTTGAGTGTTGTCTGTGTTGATCTCCTTCCTGATCTATTGCTTCGAATTCGCTGGGCTGAATTCCTGCTTTCTGCATTGTGATCAAACACTATCCTGTAAGTAAATCCGATCCAATTCTCTTCTTAATTCCTACTTTTCACTTTGGTTTTCTTATCTTCCTGGAAAATAGGATTTGAATGTTTATTTGGTTTCATTTGTTGTTAATCTTTAATGTGTGTGTGACGTATATGTTATACATTGTGTTGACTTTTTTCGGTTGATTTCAAATGACGGCTGACACAAAGGGTTCTGTGTTGTGTTCTCGGGAGCGGGAATTTAACTCTAGACTGGATATGGATTCCTACCAGGATCTAACAGTGTCGGTGTAGAAGGTGAGTAGTGACGAGGCTAACCTTGTTGTTGGTGCTGAAACTAACGCCAGTGACATGGATGATTCAGAAAATTTCTATGTCTTTGTCAATGGGAGTGACCGTACGAGTGATAATCCTGGTGCTAATGAACTCGACACTGATGTGCCTGCTACCTCGGCTGAAACCGAGGTTGTAGAGGATTCTACTGTAAGTGGGGATTTAAATAAGTCCATTGAAGAGGAGAGTCACAGTTCTCTTCAAGGGATTGGGGTCTTCCTCTCGACCAGTGAGGTGAGGTTTTTGAGGATTGTTTGGCTGGGAAAGAAAACGTGGATGGAAAGCAAGTTGCTTCTAATGATTCAGTAGAGAATCAAATCGAAGCTATTGAGTCACAAAAATATGAGTGTATTGTTGAGTCCAAACCACAGACCTCTCAGGGTCAGATTGATTTGAGGTCCTCATCTGTGACCGACTCCAGAGATGCCAACCAAGTAACTAAGGAAATTATTATAGATTCAGTTGTTGACCTAGTTAATTTAGATTCGGCCACTTGAGCAAAATAATATAGATTTGATTGTAGATCAACATAATTCAGATTTAGATTTGACCGTAGATCAACATAATTCAGATTCAACCGTTGGTGTAGAAAATGCAGATTCAGTCACTGAATAAAATAAATTAGGTTTGACAAACAATATAGATTTGACAATTATTATGTATACCAAACTTTACAGCCATCTGATGTGTTAGAAGAGGGAGAGAAATGTATAATGGCTCCCATGAATGATTTTGAATGCAAATCCCAACATGCCAAACCAAAGGTTGGGGAGGTAAATGATCAGCAGCAATCTGAGGTAATGGCAACTGAAATAGTGGAGGATGGTGAATCATACACTCATGTTAATATTCCTGCAGAGTCAAATTCTTGTGAACTTGATCATGAAGGGGAGAACCTTGAGAAGGAATCAAGTAAATGTTTCAGTTCTGATTTAAATCCAGAACTTGAAAGGGTTAGAGTTGACCAGGGGCACAAGATGGAAAATGTAGTGAATGAGAAACACACCTTCTTGGAATCAGGAGGGGCCATTTCGCGTGTTTTATGTGATAAGCACGTTAGCCTACTTGTATATCATGCTATTGACCATGTTTTCCAATCAAAAGAAGGTGGTGGAAAAATTGATGTTTCTGAAAGTTCCCATGAATTCAGATATTCTGAGGAAGCCAAGATCATGGGTGCTCCTGCTGTTTGCATGATGACTGAAGATGACACTAGAGAAAAGCCAATTGATACTACAGACCATGTTTCTCAATCAGAATAAGGTAGTGGATAATTGATGTGGGTGCTCCTGCTGCTTGCATGATGAGTGAAGGTGACACCAGAAAAAATCCAATTGATTCTATAGACCATGTTTCTCAATCAGACGATGGTAGTGGACAAATTGATGTTGGTGAAAGTTGTGACACCCCGTTATTTTAAACCACCTTATTTAATAAAATATTCTCAAGGGTAAAATTTATTTTTTTCGATCCTAATTGTTTTAGTTTGAATACTGTCAAAATAAATTATTTTACTTCAAAAATTCAAATAAGCTAATTTATAGTCCATGATTTTGTTATCCAAAATTTATCATGAGCCTGCTAAAATCATTTTATGTCTATTAACTTCTAAGCCCAAATGATTTACACTCCCAAGTCCAATTGTATTCTATGAGCCTAGATAACTTGATTATTTTAAGCCCAACTCCCTAACCCAATTATGTCAAACCGTTATACCCTGTACCACGGTGCACAGTGCACTGTGCGCCCCGCGCCTCCCAAAACGACGTCGTTTTGGGAGGCGCGGTAGGAAGTTGACATGATTATGTATATTTGTTTATACAATTATGTATATTTTTTATTATGTACATTTTTTTATACAATTATGTACATTTTTTTTATACAATTATGTACATCCGAATCAGGAAATTTTTGTGTATAATGTTAAGAGTTGATGTGTATTATGTTAAAAGTTTATGTTTATTATGTATTATGTTAGATTATGTGTATTATCATTTAGAGTGAATTCTATTTTTGGTCCTACTGTTATAGGGGCGTTTCCAATTTTAGTCCACCTTAATTTTTTTTGCCACTTTACAACCACTGTTATTGAATGTGTTCCACTTTTAGTCAACCGTTAATATTTCCGTCAAGAGGTCGTATAATCTAAGGGTATTTTAGTCTTTTTATGATTGTCTCTTCTCTTTTAATTCAGGCGTTTCGTCCTCCTCCTCCGATATTCGAAGATGGCTCTTCGAACAACGAGAATGGGAAGCCAAAGCTATATCGTTTCGTTCGTTCCAACATGGGTTGGCGAGGTTTCTTAGCTTTTAGGTTTAATGTTCTCATTTCTTTTAGTCAAACACATAGCCTTGGATGAGAAGAAAGATCAAAATATTTATAGATTACACGGCCTCTTGATAGAAATACTAACAGTGGACTAAAAGTGAAACACATTCAATAATAGTGGGTCATAAAGTGGCAAAACAAATTAAGGTGGACTAAAATTGGAAACACCTATATAACAGTAGGACCAAAAATAGAATTCACTCTATCTTTTAAAAAAGAGTATGTGTATTTTGTTATATAATTATGTACATTCATGTATACAATTATGTGTATTCTAGTATAATATTATGTACATTTTTGAACATGAGATTTTTTAAAAAGGAAAATTAACTGTCAAACACTGGGTAGCGAAATTTAAAAAAAAAAAAAATTAAAATTAAAACGACGTCGTTTTGCATCTGAACGTACAACCGCACACCGTGGTGAACGATATAAATTGCCCAATTCTGTTTATTTATTCATTTAGCCCAAGACAAAGACAAAAATAAAACCCTACCATTATAGCACATCTCCAAAATATCTCTTTTCTCTCCCTGTCGGTAATTCCCTTCTCCCTTACAGACAAACCCATTTCTTTCCTCCCCAAGACTCCAGCTTATTGCATCTTCTTCACTCATTTTATTCACCTCCTTCAACCCAAAATATAGAAGTCTCTCCTCTCCTCTCGTCTCTCTCGGCCGTCTCTCTTCCTCTCTCTGTGACGCCGGAACAAAGACGGATGACGGAGTGTAGTGGCGAAGCAGATCCGACGAGAAGCAGCAGCTACCTTGCCGTCTCTCTTCTATCTCTCGACTAGCAGATCGACAGTTGCGGCAGCCGGCAGCTGGACAGCGGTGGTGTGGCTGGTTCCGGCGGTGTTGGCAACGCGAGTTGGACGTCGGACGAAGGTGAGCCTCCACTGTTGTTGTTGAAGTTGTTTTGAATATGGATTATAAAGGCAATTAAAGACTAATGACTTTGGTGAAGGTTTAGTTACGATAATTAGTGTTATTGATTGAGTTGTTTATTTAATTAGTTAATAATGAATGGATGGATTAATCTGAGTGAAGTAGACCTGAAGATTAATTTGGAAAATGTGATGATTAGCTTAATAATGGTGATTAAGTTTGATAATGATGGTTGGACTAATAAAGCATAACGATTGTGGTAATGATTGGATTATGTCTTAATAATGTTGAACTAATAATAATTATTGGATGATGAAGGGCAAAGAGATGTTAACGATGGGCTGCTAATGATGATTATTAGGATTTTTAAGTTAATGGTGATTAATGGCTAATGATGGTTGGTTATTATATGATGATGACATGATGATGCTATGAAATAATATGATGGTTTATGACGAGTATAATAATGATGATTATAGTATTAATAATGGGTGATTAGAGATGATTAGATAATGATTTAGAATGGAGATGATTATGTATTCTGTGTTGATTAGATGATGATGGACTACATAGAATATTAATAGTAATTACGAACTATGATGATGAAGTGGATGGTTTGGTAATTTCGGTTGGGGACTATTAATGATTCTGGATTAATGATTAAATGAAGAATTGATTGATCCACAGGTTCCATGTAGAAGTGGTTAGTTTAAGAGTTGAGCCTAAGGTAGAGTATTTGGCTTTTGGAGCTTAGCTGTGAGGTAAGTTTCTATGTCCGTTTAAATTACTTTGCCCTACTAAATGTTCTACTTATATGATTTGTGTACTTAAATTATTTTGAGAATGTGTTCTAGTTTCAAAATGTGATAAATAGCAAAATATGGTTATTTTGGTGTTGACGTGTGATTTATATGGGTTGAAACTATATTTTTGAAAGGTGTATAATCTATGGTGTGCCTAAATGTTTTGTGTTGAAACCCCATTATAATTGGGATTGATTTGAGTATTGGAAAACTTATAATTTTGTGATATATACATATATTTATATTGCTATAGAGTTTGATGAAACTCATACTTTGAGAAATATTGATTGAAAACCTAAGTATATTGAAATGAGTGAAACTATGTTTATATTGGAGGATATGAAGTTATATTTATTCTTGAAGGACTATCTTTTTGGAGGAAATGTGTAAATTAGAGAAAATGTATTATTTTGCATACTATTATTTTGCATACTATTATATTCTTTTTGGAGGATGAAAACTAATTTGGAAAGTATGGATATTGATGGGTTATATATACTCTATATTATTTGAAAACTATAATTTGGATAGCCTACGGGCAAATGAGAATACTTATGAAAACTTTTCTTGGAGAACTATTATTATAATTGGAGGATATTGTATTTATTTTTGGAGGATATGTGGATATGATGGATGGTTGTGGATTTGTGGACTTTGGTCCTAGTGTGGGCTCCGGCCCTATTTTGATGAGATTGTATCTGGTAGAAAACATCCTGGATACCTACTATATGTGGAGTAGCATGGTAGAAAACATTTCTGGGCTACTTGGACTAGTTACTACTCTTTTGGGTGGGGGAAGCCCATTAGGGGGTGTGCACACTTAAGGTTTTAGTCCTTTATCCCACGAAAGGGACAAACTTGTGGAGTGGCCGGTAGAGTGGATTACCGTGTCACTAGGGCTTAGTTGATCTAAGACCCTTCGTCCCTTTTCACCTTATATATATGAGAGTATATGGATATGTGATACTTGGAAAAGTTATTTGAGAAATATGATTTGAATTCCTCCCTATCTATTATTATTGACATATATGTTTTTGAGAATGACTTGAGAGAAATCTATATCTTGATATGATAACTTGGAGAGATATATTATTATGCTATTGTGAATTCCTCCATATATACTTGTATATCTATCTATGTTTTGGAATGACTATTTGGGAAGTTATACGCTGAATTGATATTGAGAAATATTGGGAAAGGCTATTTTATGAATCCTCCATGCTTATGTTATTTTGGAAAGGAGTGGAATGCTTTATAAACTAGTTATGTTGTTTTGAAAAGGGTTAAAGGTTATTATTTTGAAACCATATTACCTTGCATGAAACCTAGTATTGTTATTGAGTAGAGTGTGTTATGGCATTGGTGCCTATACTATTTTGGGAAAACCATTTTGGTAAATAATATACTACTTATCTTTGGTGTGAGTCAAACTATATTACTGAACTGGTTTCAAAACCTATTTACAAATTATATCTATTTTCGAAAATATGTACTTAGTGTTGCCTAAGCGTGGCATAACACCCCTTTGTTTCTGTTGTTTATTTGAGCTTCCGCATTTGAATTCTCTTTCAAATTAACATTGTCTTTTATGCTATGTTTTTTTGGTTTAAAAAAAAAAATGGGGGTGTTACAAAAGTTCCCATGAATTGAACAGATTGTCTGAGGAAGCCAAGATCATAGGTGACCCTGCTGCTTGCATGATGAGTGAAGGTGACACCAGAGAAAAGCTAATTGATGATACAATTGGAAAGGTCAGTGCAGATTGTGAAAACATGTATGGGGCTTCTCTGCCTACAGAAAACATTTCTGTTCAAGATGCTGAGGTCCTGGAACCTAGGAGTTGTGATGAACACGTTGTATCTTCTGTTGCTGATGACAGCTGTGCACTTGTTATGAACTCTTTGGAGAATGATACAAGCCTGGGAACTGAATTTGGGATTCAAAATTCTGCATCAGAAGAAGTGTCTGCATTGGCTGGTGGAAGTTCTCTTCATGATTCAAAATCAGAAAATCTCGACTCAGAAGCTGCTGTAGTGAAGAGCAAGTTTCTTGGTCATGACAGCATATCAAGTTGTTCTCCCACAGATTCAAGCTCTAAAACCACATTTAGCCTGTTCACTGACAAATCTGAACAGAAAGTGCAAGGTGGAACTGAAATTTCAAATGAGGGTGCTGAGCTTGCTCATGGCCAATCTAGTTCAACTGTTGTACAATTATCTGAAGTTGGGAACTCATCTACTTCAATCAATAGGGACATGCATGGTGATAATACTCTTGAATCTGGACTGGAATCTCTGAGAAGTTCTTTTGACAACAATGGCAGTCCACCAAACCACACTAAAAACTTGGAAGTTCAATGTAATGGTTCTGAAAGAAGTAGTGAAGACAATTTGGTGTGCCAAGAATTTGTGGTTGCTGACAAATCTTTGTGCAATGAAACATTGGATATTTTGCTGGAAGGTTCTTCAGCTAATGTTGCTGGACAGGATGTTAGTACTGGGACTTTTGGAGGCTTGAAAAAGCCATTCCAATTCCTGATCAAGATGCCAAGGTTTGATGATGAAAAGCTTAGAGAGAAGATCAGACTTGCACAACTACATGTTGATGAGAAGACCCAAAGTAGGGATGCTATTTGGCAGGAAATAAAAAAGAAGAGAGTAAGATTAACATTTTAGGTTTTTCAATTTTTTGTATGCATTGCAGACTTGGTTTGAATTGTGGGAGTCTTTTGTGCAGGCCAATTGCCAACATGATGGTGTTGAATTTGAAGCTGCCAAATTAGAAGAGAGAGCTGCACGTAAGCTGGTTAGGTCAAAGCGTGCTGAAATTGAGCATCTTCAAACTGCAATTAATAGAGTGAAGAATGCAATTTCTGTTGAGGAGATAGATGCAAGGGTAGGAATTCACCTCCACCCTATCCCCTTCCCAATTACAGAATATTTGGAGGATTATCACATTTATATTCTGTTTTTAACATTTTACATAACTTACTCATGGCTACAGATATGTAGCATGGAACACATGATAGAGCATGAAACTCTTCCTTTAAAAGAGGAAAAGAACTTAATTCGCGAAATTAAGCAGCTGAAGCAGCTGCGAGATCAATTATCCTCTAACATAGGTAGTTGTGATGAAGTCCAGCAGGCTCTGGACAATAGAGACCAAATTGAAGAGAGCTTAAAGGTAACACGCTGAAATACTGAAATTCTATTCAATATGTTGCAGTCTGCACCTTTAGCAGGAATCCTATTCTGAGTTTTAATGTTTTTTCATTCATTAATTAACTCCTTTAACTTGCATTTACCTGACCTTAACGTTTGCAGAATTTGAAAAAAGAGCTTGATATCCTTAAAAACAAGGTATCAAAAGCTGAAGCAGTTGCTGTAGCAGTAAGCTTGAGATTTGAAGATGAAAACAAAATGCACAAGGAATTGCGAGTTCAGTATAAGGCTGCTAATGAAATTCGCCAAGCAGCATACGAAAACTTGCAGAATTTGAAAAAGATACTATATGAGAAGGTTAGTAGTAATATTTTGATGTTGAAGTTTAGCTTATTCTGTGATTAACAAGTTGTAGATCATGCTGAGTGAACACTTCAGAACTTGTTATACTTGTGGCTATTCATTTAATAGTGACTAGATGATTGTTTTCTTATCCCTGAGGGAGGTTGGAACAGAATATCTGTAATTTGTTAGGAGAATTGCTTTGGTAGTGATTATATGGCATATTTGCCCCTTCAGTGGAGGAGCGTTTACCAGAATGAGTATCTTGCGTGACTATTTAAGAATACACCTAGGTATAAAAGCCTGCAAATTTAATGGACTCTATTTTCATTGTCATTTTTTTTTGTAGCTTTATTATTATGTTTTTTAAATGGTTAAGGCATAAATACAACTTTTAAACCAAGTATCTTCTTTGAGAACTTTATGTGCCTGGCCTAATGGTTTAGGGTATGAACTTTGAAGGATTTTCAATTCTCTCATATGAAACACTAAACTGTAATGAGTTAGTGATCTACTCCAAATTATGGTTTTTATTTATTTATTTTGGTGCAAAATGGCAGAACTTGGCGACGCCTATTGTTACTCTCTCATCCTCTCGATAAATGTTTATGCCAATATTTTGTAGCAACTAAAAATTAAATTCTTCTGAAACTGTAGAACAACCATTTCCGGATGTACAAGGATAATGCATCAACAGCTAGTCGTCATGCTGAATGCAAAGACACTGAAGCTCTTCATCATCTTTGTGCCAACCAGGTTGGTTAATTCATTTCTTTGGTCGGTCATCTTTTTGAATAATGTGACAACTAGAAGTTTTAATTTTTCATTAATTCATTTCTTTGGTCATCTTTTAGAATAATATAATGTGACAACTAGGAGTTTTAATTTTCAGGTTGAGAAATATATGGAACTCTGGAATAGGGATGATGAGTTCCGCCAGGAATATGTGAGGTGCAACATGAGGAGTACAGTTAGGAGATTGGGAACATTGGACGGTCGTTCTCTTGGCCCTAATGAGGATCCACCTGTTCTCCCGGTTTATGTAGCTAAAAGAACTGATAAAGTGATTTCCCGTACATCAAAAGTTGATTTTGTCTCACCAACCTTGCCACTGCAGCAAGAAAAACAAGTAATGCTTATCAAGGATGAAGGCATAGCCAGAAAGCCTATGGTGAAAGTGACAGGACAAAAGACTGAACGAGAGAGGAAAACTGGCACAGTGAAGTCTAATTTGGAGAGTGCAGACAGTGTATCTAGTTGGGATGTAAGCAATGACGTGAAAAGGGAAGACATTCAAATTCAAACAAAGGAGGAATTGGAGTTGGCTAGGAAGGAAGAGGAACTTAAAAGGTTGGAGACTGCTGCTAGACTGAAAGAGCAACGCCGGTTAGAGGAGATTGCCAAGGCTAAGGAGGCACTGGAAAGGAAAAAGAGAAATGCAGAGAAGGCTCAAGTGAGGTCAGAATTACGAGCTCAGAAGGAATCAGAACAGAAAGAGAAGGTGGGTGAAGCTTTTAGCATCATCTTTGTGCTATTTATATTTGTTCTAACATGAAATGAAAATTAAAAGGCGAGCTTGTGTGTTTGTTTGTGTGTGTGAATGGATGGATATATGTAAACGCACATATGATTGTTCTGATTTTTTGTTTTATCTGTACAGGAGAGAGAGAAAAGATTGAGAAAGAAGGAAAGAAAGAAGGGTGGTGGCAGCGAAGCTGCTAATGAGAGCGAAAATGTTTCATTCTGTGAGAGCATAAAAGACATTGTGAATGAGGCTGAAACAAAGGAGACTGAGGAGGGTGGTAAGAAAACTCAAAAGGTCCCTCAGTATGCAAAGCAAAATAAGACAAAACCTATTCCTCCACCACTTCGAAACAAAAACAAGAAGAAAATGCAGCAGTGGATGCGGATAATTTTCACATCCATTATTGTCATCGCTTTGTTCTTGCTGGGAAACATTGGCTTCTTTGCCAATCTTAAGAGCCGCCAAAATGTCTTATAATCTTGCTTTAATTTCCTAGCCGGGATGGGGACTTTTGGTGTTGGATATTCTTGCATTTGGAATTTTAGTTTTATTTTATCTTTTGTTAGAAAAGAAAATTATTGCCAAAGGCCTTGTGGTCAAACGGCATACCTGTAGCCCCTTAAATGAGAGGTTTCAGGTTCGAACATGTTTTAGTGCTTTAATATGTTGAGAAAGTATGTAAAAAGAAAAGGAAATTGTTTGAACGACGTGGGGTTTTGTATTTTGCATAATGAACAAGAGTAGTAACATTACATCATGATTTTGTAATACATTGTAGATCCCTATTCCCTTCTTGGATAATCTATCGAATAGGCAAATGGGTATATAGTCACTTCGATAAAGTCGACCAATGAAAATGGGTATATAGTCACTTGGATAAAGTCGACCAATGAAATAAAAACTAAGCTGTCATTGAAATTTGAAAGTTTATTTAAGAAAGGAAAGCGTATTCTTTTGAATGAATCTCAAACTTTATGGTTGTTTTTTTTCTTTACACCAAAAAAAAAAAAAAAAAAAAAAAAAAAAAAACATCTCATTGGACTCAATACCATATACGGAGTATAACTTTATGGTTATTTAATCTCAGCTATTTTTTTATTTATTTTTTTGATAATTAATCTCAGCTTTTTTAAAGTTAAGTATTTTAATTTCTTAATTTTAGTCATACACACAGACACGTAAAGCTATTTTAGAGGAAAAACTATTGTTGCTTTATCGAAATTCTTTGAGTGATTTGGAAGAACTCCTGAATCTATAATTAGTCATACGTGAATATATTTATCAGTTCACAATTATGTTTTATTGAATTGTTTGGTTGGCTAGCTTGTTGCAAACTAGTTGAACACTCTAAAGAGCTTGGAAGAACTCCTGAATCTATAATTAGTCATATGTGAATATATTTATCATTTCACAATTATATTTATCGAATTGTTTGGTGGGCTAGAATGTTGCAAACTAGTTGAACACTCTAAAGAGCTTCAATGTCTTCAAGGTGTTTTTAACTCTAAGTATCTTCAATGCCTTCCACCTATAATTTTACTAGGGTTTTGATGCAAACCTGGTTGGCCCGATCTTCTCTTCACAATCGAATTACAAAAAATATTTTAGAGTGATTTATTCGGAATCGAGGGTTTAATTTAGGTTGGGAAAATGGTTAATTTTTGGATTTTGATAAGTCCTCGACCACACCGGGTTATACGAACATAGGATTTGGGATGACGCCACAAGTGGGGTTTTACACTTGATAAGTCAGGTTTGCCATGACCAACTCAACTCTGTATTTTATTTAGCATGCAATGACCTTAAATAGCCATTAACAAACATATTACAACCACGTAAATCATAAATGAGATAATTATTAAAAATATAATAAGCTAATCCTAACCAACAACTTAGGATAACATAAATAATAATATAATTCTAACAAACTAAATCTAAAATAATTTAAAGATAATCATCCTAATTAATTAATTAATTAATATAACTAATTTTAAAATATTTTCAACAATTCACGTGGCCACAACAGGTTTTCTCGTCGTCTAGACGATCGTCTTAAACATTTAACTTTTTAAGATTTTCAAGAGCTCTCAGAATTTTCAAGAGTGATAAAATTCTTTACTAGATCTAGTTGTTATGTGTTCTTATATATTAATGAATCTCCTGCACTTCTGGCGTCAAGGAGTATTGATATACGTATATATGGTCCAATTTGGGGAATGTGTACGAGACATAGTCACTCTTTTTATGAAATAGATTTATTTGGCAGATATGTTTGATTTCTTTCTAAACTTGCATTTCAGTCTAATTAGTACGTGGATTTAATTTTTGAAGATCATTTTCATTCCATGAAATTTCTCGGCATTCCATTTAAATTTGATCATATCTCCCTCTAATGCAGTGAACCGATATTCATGCAGTCAATGTATCCATTGTGTCTCTCTGAGGGGCAATATTTGAGACAACAGATGGAGGTTGAGAGGTATACTATGGTGGTTATGTAATAGATTGGACTGCATTCATAAGAATAGAAACACAGATTTGGGAAATGTTTGTTTTAAAATCACGTTTTAGATGTAAGGGGGAATAAGGATATGCAGTGTGTCAAAATTTTTAAAGTAGCAGCCTGAATACTGCATTTCCCGACAAGTATCTGGCACATTGGTATTTTGAAAAATAATGGTTTAGCAAGCAACTTAAATTTAGAGATTTAGCTAAACCCTTTTAGGTTCATCAAAAGTAGACAAGTTGAATTCACCAGCGTTATTGATCCTTATATGCTTAAGAGGATAATCGGGGAATTGAGTATTTAATTAAATAGCGTTTGCTCAGAAATTCGGCAATGAATTTGTTCGTAATTGACAACATGCTCACATGTGTCTACTGGGTGGAAATATTGATAAACACCAAAAAGGATTCAAAAGTAGGTCATCAATACGACCAACAAGAGCCTTTGCTTTAGGCAAGGCAACTTTGTTGGATTCAACATGGTGTTGTTCGTTCAGGTTTCAGCAAAATGCTTCGTGGTGTGGCATGCACATGAACTGTGCCTTTTACACCCATACGTGAAGCATAACTTGCTGCTATGCCAGAGTTATGATTTTGTGATTGTTCCTGATAAGTTGGATCATTTTTGTTTTTTTATTCTGGTTTCGGGAGTTATTGTTGTTGCCACCTTGGCCTTACCTCTTCCCCGTCTTCTTCCTCAACCCCTCTTGGTGTTGCACAATTAAGCGAAATTGTGTGCTTCGGGCACCGGTGCAGAGCCAGCTGGGCATGCATTATAGATTTGCATCAACAGGTGGTTGTGTTTCTACAATTATGGGATGAGGGTGGTGTGGGAAAGAAGACAAGATCTCGGTAATCAAATTTGCGTCAGAAACATTCTACTTACACAACCTTAGTTGGGACACAATTTTGTGTATAGCTGATTTAGGATAAGTCATTTGACTTAAAGTTTTGAAAGATCAAGGTAAGACAGTCAAATTGTGATTTTAGAAAGGATCATTAATGTGTAGTAGTCAAATTTATCCTTTGGGGATTTCTATAAGGCATAAGGGTCCTTTGCAGGAAGGTATTCATTTGTTAGGGGTGACGTAAGTAAAATTAAGGTGTTGGCTATTTGGGCCGCATCGCTCGTGGACTTCTTAACGTTCGTGTTTTCAAGGTGATGTAAGATCGAGATAAATTTCAATATCAAGAGCCCATGTAAAATAATCGCTCCCGTCCAGAATAAAATGAGAGAGGAGTATACTTTTTTTTTTTTTTTTTTTTTTTTTTCTTAGGCCGTGTTTGGAAACTGAAAATCATTTTTTTTTTTTGGATTTTCAGTGTGTGGATGCAATTGAAAATTCCAATCAACGGAAAATATTTTCTGTTGACTAGGGAAAATGTAGTCATTTGGGGGAAAAATAACTTCCCCCAAAGTTTGTTTAAAAGTTTCCACTGGAACTGAAGCAAGAACTGAACCCTACTGGTGAAAAGTTTTACTTTTATAGATAGATTAGATTAAACTATAAAATGGGGTATGAAATGGTTCAATGATATATTCAATAGCTTCAGTTTCTTTTGCAAATCAACATATGTTGTTGGCTAGGAGGAACATAAAAAAGGCAAGAAAATTGAATCATATGAAAATCATGCAACTGGAACCCTTACATATATGAAACTGGGCATTGTGTAGTTACGGTAAACAAATATATTGAGGACCTGCTTTCATTCATCCATTATTGGTCTTTGTTTCAGGCTACTTAGCCAGCCGCATTTTCCCTTTTTCCAATCGCAACTTTTATACTGAAGCCTTTAGCATTTGCGGAAAAACATGATTGCTTCCTGTTTCTGTTTATAACCAGTACATTTTCTTTCGTTTTTTTTTTTGTTTTTTTTGTTTTTTTTTTGTTTTTAACTTGAGTAGGTACTAGTTTGATTTGTCTATTGAAGAAGCTGCAGAACGTTTCGTGATTGGAAGTAGAGTCTGGGTTGTTCCCCTTGGATTGTGAGTTTGTATTGTATCAATTGTTGATAAGAGCCCGTTGTTGCATTCCCTTCCCCTTGCGAAGTGTTGTTGAGTATTGATGGTTGTTGTTATGAGCTTTGATTGTTGTGTTGTTGTCCATGATGGAACAAAAGAGAGTTGAGATTGGTGGTACAAAATTGATAGGTGGATTTGATGCACTGAGCGTGCTTTTGGCGATAACTGCGCTGCGGTGCGGTTATCCTTTTGATAAGGTGTTGCGGTACCTTTTTGATGCACTTCGCGTGCTTTTTGGTATTGTACTTATGTACAATCTGGTGGTTTGATAGGGTTGCAGGTGGGGAGCATGCGCTGCTCCGGAGGGATAAGGGTGTGGTGATAAAAGGGTGGCCTGGAGGTAAAGGTTGGAACTGTTATAAGGATGGAGAGGAATAAAGGTTGGAACTTGGTATAAGGTTGGGTCATGGACACGCTGGTTGTTGTTGTTGAATCTTGTTGTTGTCGTGTCTTGTGGCTTTAATTTGCATGCTTGTGTCTTTACGTTGCCTTACGATGTCGAGTACTGTTGGCTTGTCTTGAGTCATTATCTTGGTTTTAAAGCTAGAGTTGTTTATGTCTATAATTATGTATTCTCAAGTCTCAAAATGATTTCTTATATCTATATGTATTGTACTCAACGCATAGGAGTGTGTTACTTAACATTATTCGCTAACGGTTGTAATACCACATGTTTTTCAGGTACTGATTAGTTGATCGAGAGCGCGCTAGAAGGAGCTGCGGTTCCTGGCTTAGTTAGTATTAGCGTAGTTAGCCGGCCTGTGAGCCATGCTTGTATTCAGATAATGATTTTGGATTATACTTTGCTTAGTTAGTTTAGCTTGTGCATCTAGGTTCTCTAGCTTAGATGTGGCATAACACCCCAACTCTGATGTTTAGCTTCCGCTCTGTTTGGTTATTAAGGGTAGAATTGCCTTTATTACATAAGCTTTACATGTTTTAAAATAGTATGAAAATTGGGGGTGTTACAGGTCTCAACCAGATTAGACCGGGACATAGCGATTACTGTCCAACTCTGATGTTTAGCTTCCGCTCTGTTTGGTTATTAAGGGTAGAATTGCCTTTATTACATAAGCTTTACATGTTTTAAAATAGTATGAAAATTGGGGGTGTTACAGGTCTCAACCAGATTAGACCGGGACATAGCGATTACTGTAGCACCTGTGTATGCTACCTTTAGTGGAGCTTGGTAAGTGAGATGGTCGGGAAGATGATCGTGCCAGGTCAGCGCAGATCGGGCCG